CAGGGGACAATCTCCCAGGCACTCGGGGTGCAGGTGGGTCAGGACTCAGGGGACAATCTCCCAGGCACTCGGGGTGCAGGTGGGTCAGGACTCAGGGGACAATCTCCCAGGCACTCGGGGTGCAGGCGGGTCGGGTCAGGGCCCAGGGAACAATCTCCCAGAGCTGCAAGCCCCGAAGCCCAGTGACAGGACCTCCCCGGGGGGCTGGGCAAGACCCAAACCCTAGTGACCAGGGACATCCTAGGCCAGCTGCTCCAGGCTGGGGTGGTGGTGGCCACGACCTGGGCCTTTCGCCCCACTCCCTCAGCCCCCTCCTGTGGGCCCAGGATGTGGGGTCTGTGGCAGGGCCAGGAGCGGTCAGGGCGGGCTCACCGGGCAGGGCACGGCTCCTCGCTGCACTGCCTCTGGCGGTCATCAGGCCGGACCAGGGGGTCACAGTGTCTCTCGTCCACGGGCCCCACCTGTCGCTCGGTACAGTGCACAGTCTGCCTCTGCATACCTGGGGGGCCGCGGGGGCTCAGCCTGGGCCCGGCACCCAGGGTGCCCCCTGCCCGGGCTGCCCCGCACCCAGAGACAAGGCCACACCCGCTCCTCTAGAACCCTCCCAGAACAAGGCCTCCGCCTCCACCCCTAGATGGGGACCAGAGCGTGGAGGTTCGTGGCGTTGAGGGCCCAGCCCCTTGGCGTCCTAGCTGGGAGGCTTGGGCGGCTCACCCGGCCTCTCTGAACCTCCGTGTGTTTATCTGTAAGTGGGAGGAAGAGTAACACCCGCCTCGAAGCCAGGGTGTGAGGACAACACGTGGTCGTGCAAACCCAGCCTCCCCTCCCAGCAGGATCAGCGCTCAGGAAAGGCGGAGCGAGGCCACTCACCAGACCCCCGAACAGACATTCCTCTCCAGCCCACCTTTGTCACTGTTCCTGTCCCCCAGCCACCACCTGCCTCTGGGCCTTTGCACGACTGCACTCTTCCCCTCGGACACGTACCCCACACTGTCTCCGGTGGCAGGACCGTCCAGCAGGCCCTGCCTTCCCCTGCTTCCCTCACAGGCCAGAAGACCAGGTCTCCTTGGCCTGAGCCTTCCGTCCTGTCCACTCCTCCTCCCCTAACAGAATTCTGGTTCTCTGCAAGGACCTGCTGAGAACACTCCCCATGGGAGTTCCCGTGTGCAAGGGAAGGACACGGGGAGAAAGGACACGAGTCTCTCCCCTGGGGGTCAGCCCCTCGCCCCTTCCTTCTTCCTGCCTGGACCCCAAGAAGGGGGAGGGCGGGGCTACCTTGACACACATGAGGGGAACACTCGGATGGGGAGAGAGGTCCTGGGTCCCTAAGGCCACCCCGAGCCACCTGCACTGGTGCTCCAGCTGGCACCCCACGACCTGCAGCGCCACACGCCCCTCAGCCACCCACCTGTGAAGCGGCCGTCCGCTGACCCCCAGGGCCCGGTCTAACGGGTTTGCGGTCATGTTTGTAAACGTAAAGACGCTCTATGGGACAGGATACTTTTTAAGAGCTTTTGAAAATTTCTGCCAGGTTTCCGTGTGTCGGTTTCTACTTTATCATCACACGAGGTTTTTAAGGAATGTTTGAGGGGTACCTGGGTGGCTGAGTCGATGAAGTGTCCAATTTTTTATTCGGCTCAGGTCGTGATCTCGTGGTTCATGGGTTTGAGCCCCGAGTCAGGCTCTGCGTGGACAGCACGGACCCTGCTTGGGATTCTCCCTCTCCCCCCACCCCCTCTCTGCCCCTCCCTGACTCGTGCTCTCAAAATAAAAAACTAAAAAGGAACGAGAAGACGTCTGTCCCAGACTCCTGATGCTGAGATCCCTGGACACTGAGGGGCACTGGGGGTGACGAGCCCCGGGGAACAGGGGTCAGCGACACTGTTACACGTCTCAGAGTGCGTGTGGGGAACGGGCCACTGGGCCCAGAGGCTCAGAGCGGGGGTGGGGACACGCTGGTGGTCCTGGCTCCCTCCTCCCCACCTCTCCTCCTCCTCCTGATCCCCCCTGCGAAGCCCCTCCTGGGGCAGCAGCCAGGGAGCACCAGGCTCTGGGCCGCCCAGGAAGGAGCCGCAAAGCCCGTCTGCAGCAGGAGGTGGAGGAAGGAGCCCACGGAAGACTGTGAGGACGAGGGTCCGGTGTCCGGAGTGGGACAGAAGCACCGGTGAGGGGCCTGCTGAGCAGTGAGAACGAAGGAAGGGGCAGCCGGTGCGTCTCTGGGGACACAGCGCCAGCAGCTGAGACACACCGGGCGCTCAGCACGTGTCCGGTCCTGTGCCGGCCTCTCCCCCGAAGGACCCGGGACAGGGCTGCCGGCGGCCCCGCTCTGGACACGGGGTCCCGAGAGCCACACGTAAGCAGCCAGCCGGAGGCTGAAGCCGGGCACCGTGCCCACCCCTTTCCTCACCTGTGCCACAGGTGACCGTGCACTGGCTCCACGGCCCGTAGCTCCAGGAAAACTCGGGCGGCTGGCCGTGGCCGTGGCCATCCTCCTCCCTGTGGATGGTGTACTCGTAGCGCACCCCGGGGTTGCTCTCCTGGAAGAGCAGCTAAGGCGGGTGGGCAAGGGGCCCCGTGAGCACGAGGCTGGGGTGACATTACTGCACAGAAGCAGCTGCTTCTCCTGACCCCTGGCTGTAGTGGCAGCAGCTGACGGGGGGACCGGCAGAGGAGAGGTGGCCACCTCCTGAGCATCTCCCTGGGCCCTCCCCCCGCCCGGGACCTGGCTGCTCCCCACCCACCTGTCCCCGAGCACGGGGCCGGGCCCTCGGCCCCTCTGATGCACTGAAGTAAATGAGGTCAACAGCTGGTGAGGAGCCTGGTCTCCCATGCTCGGCACAGCCTCGGGCCGCTGGGGGGCTGCC